CATTAATTAACTGAAGCTGGAAAATAATAACTAAACTATTTTTTTTTGCCAAATTTTTCTTGCTTAGCATTGCCCCAGGCCTTTGGTCCTAAAGGACTGGCAGTATTGGCAGCTGCAGTAGCATACTGTATTTGCCCATGAGCCATTTGTACACAGTTCATATGTCAATGTGTAAGATAGCTACTTTATTAAAATTTTCTTTTAAATGGAAAACGTTTTACTATGTCATCATAATAATGTGAAGTTTAGTATTATTTCGCTTGTATACTTATGCAAAGTAACTTTTTAAAAAAGTTGGCAGCATATTTTCTTGTTTTTTTTTTTTTTTTAAGGCAATTGGGGTTAAGTGACTTGCCCAGGGTCACACAGCTAGTAAGTGTCAAGTGTTTGGTCTGAGGCCGGATTTGAACTCAGGTCCTCCTGAGTTCAGGGCCGGTGCTCTGTCAATACACTCTGCCACCTAGCTGCCCCAGGATATTTTCTTACTCCCATTTCCTTTTGTGACTGGGCAATATCCCTTCAGTTTACAGCCGAGCATTCTTACTCCAAATGCCGCTAGAAGGCACCAAGTTCTTGTATTCATCACAGCAGTTCCCATTGAGAGCAAGTTGCAAATCTCTCAGATCCACTGGGCGCATACGCCCACGGTCAAATGCCTTTAAATGATTAGTTTGGTACTGAACTCTAAAGAGATAATCCATCTTTAGCAAGAAGGCACTGAAATTTCTACGGTCTCTGAGATTAATTTAACAACTTTTCCAGTAGCTTTGAATTGATGTTACTTTTCTCTAGTTCAGTTCACTTTCAATATAGTTGCACTAATATGTGTATTTCAAACCTGTGATCCCAAATCATTTTTAATTGACATTACACTGCATTGTAATTTTTTTGGGTAGCAACAAATATGCCTATTTCTTGCCTTGCTAAGGTTGCTATTAAAATTAATTTGAATTCCGTAAGAGAACACAACAACTGACGAGAACAAATTGGGAGTAAAGCAGCCCTAAAGTCTGTGGTACAGGGAAGTCAGTCTGGAATTTTAAATTTGGGGTGAATAATCTACCCTCTTGATAATAAAAAGCTGTATCTGTGTGGCATAAGTGACATTTTAATTTAATATCAAACCATTACCCAGGGTTTAATAAAAAGCTGTCATAGATTCCCAAATGTGGTAAAACCTTATTAAATTGGACTTCACTGGATTAGCATTTGTGAAAATTGAATAGAAATGATTTGCCTTTTAGTTTTCTAGGAAAGGGAGAATGTAAACAAAACTTTTTCAGCTACTTGGCAGAAATGGATTTTTAGAATGCTTTTAGAAGCATTCATTAACATGTAATTTAATTGCAAAGTGGCAGGGCCCACAGGTACTTAGGTAATGCTTTAATATGCTAATTATAAATCTTTGTTTATTTGTTAAAAACAATGCTGCTTTCATACCACACTTTTAGGTTTCCTGCATGTCCTAAAATAAGTAAAATTTCATTGCTTTGAAAATAACATTTCTTTATTTTATTAATTCAAACTAGTCTTCCCATAATTAATCTCACTTGGTGAGGTTTTTCCATATGCCGCAGGCTGAATTTATCTTATTGTGACCATTCTTAAGGAAGTTACCTTTCTGCTGCATTGCAAAACCTTTTCATTTGTTGACATTAAGAAAAATGGAAACTTTCATGGTTTTATTAAGTGACTTTTGTACAATTACAATGTATTTGGAAGTCAATTTTGTAATAAACATGTTATGATAAAATTGATACAGCTTTGATAGTAAATGTAAAAATAGAGACAAGAATTGATTACATACCTTTGTCTGTGTTCTCATTTTACAACTTATATTTAAATCATATAATGATCATATTTATATAACCCTCTATATAGTTTTCAGAGATTTTCCATAGCTTTTAAATTTGATTATTGGGATCATCCTGTTAAGTAGGCAAGGATTATCGCCCCTATTTTGAAAAATGAGGAAAGTTGGGTTCAGAAAGGTAGTGAATGATAACAGATCCTGGACTGTGACCCAGTTCTCCTGCCTCAGCATTCATTTAATGCTCTACTCAGCTGCTCCCTCCTTTTAAATATGAGGTTAAGGGAGTTTTGGGGAACAAGTGCACAAGTAGGTGGGAAATCTGGGGATCAAGAAAGAGTTCCTTTAAAAAGCTGGTTAGAGATGGGTTGAAGTATCCCGAGAAACTTGTTGTTTACATATAGCACATTCATCAGTAAACCTTTAAATAGTATATGGTCAATAACAATTAAGATAACTTGAATTTTATTTATTAAGGCCACAGAGGGGTACACATAAGTGCTCTGCAATACAAATTAGTGCAAGAGCATTCTGTGGTACTTTGTCTCCTCTCACTTTTCCCTAAATCCTCTGCGCTCTGGCTGCAGACCTCAACTGAAACCACCCTCCCCAAAGTTACCGATGATTTCTTAAATGCCAAATCTAATGGCTTTTCCTTGATCCTCTCGTTGACCTCTTCTCAGCTTTTGACTCAGTTTTGACCACCCACATTGCTCCCTTCTGATTCTCTTACCTGTCTGATCTTAGTCTCAGCTCATTCGTTATCCATGACGTGCTTACTTTGTCTTTAGGCTCTTTTTTTCCTCTCACTCTACATATTCATTCAGTCAGCAGATCTTGTCTTTTCTATTTCTACGTCTCCTACATCCCCCACCTCATCACTCCCATAACTACCATTCTCCTTAAGACCTTCATCACCTCTTTCCTGGACTACTGCAATAACTTCCTATTTGGTCTCCCTCAAGCATTTCTCATCTCAAACTCCTACTGACTAGTTCAACTCTCTACTCTCCTCTATTTTTGATCTCACCTCATTGCTTTGTCAAACCCCAGCCCTGAATTCTTCTGTCTGCCTCCTCCTCTATTCCCCTCATGCTGCTGAATGGATGGAGCATGAGGAAATATCTCTCCTGAGGATCAACAAACTTCATATGGAATATGAATATTTAGTTACAGTTATCTCAAACTCACATACAAAACAGAACTCATCTTTCCCTCCCAATTCTGATTCTAAACTTCCCTATTACTGTTGAGGACACTACCATTTTATCACCAAGGTTCTCAACCTCCATGTTTTTCTCAATTCTTCACTCCCAACCCACATCACTAATCATTTGATAAATCTTGTCCATTCTCTTTCCACAACATTTGTTGCACCCATCTCCTCCCAGGCCAGCTCCCTATTTCAGGCTCTCATTAACTCTTAACCTATTACTAAATTGTTATAACTGGATTCACAGCTTTGTCTCTCATCCTTCATTTTCTCATCTGTACAGCTGCAGTAATGATTTTCCTGAAGCACAGATCTGACCATGTCTCTGCTCAAGTGTTTCTGCTCCAAAAACTTAAGTGGCTCTCGGCCTCTAGAATCAAATATAAACTCAGTTTTTGATATTTCAAGCTCTTACAACCTGGCCCCATAAGCTAACTTTCCAGTCTAATTATACTTTACTCCCTGGATTCTGCAATCTAGTCATACTGCCCTTGCAGTTCTGAACACATGATGCTCCAACTTGTGTCTCTGTGCCTTTACCTTGCCTGGTCGCCAAGTTTGGAATGCTTCTTGGGATTTTTAGTTTCTTTTGAGACTCAGCACAGGTACCAACTCCTACCCAAATCCTTTCATGATCTCCCTAAGGGCTAGTGCACTCCCAAAGATACCTTAGATTCAATTTGTACATATTCCGTATATACTGATACATGCACATACAGTCTTCCCCATTAGAATGTAGACTAGAAGCCAAGGATTGTTTTGCTTTTTTTTCTTCTTCTTCTGCATATCCCTCTTCCTAGCACAGTGCCTGGCATAAACAGGTGCTTCATAAATGTTTTCGACTGCTTACTAGTAGAGATGAGAGTCTACACAAGTTAACTGATACAGAACAAAGTAATGGGGGCAAGAAAGAGCCAGGCAAAGTGCTACGAAAAAAAAGTCTTAAGAAGGAAGCTAGTCACTGGGGGGGAGATGGGGAGTTGGCACCAGGATCTCATGCCTTGGAAAAAGCACTTTGTACATAAAAGAATTCAGGACTCTGATGCAGTGCCCAATCACGCCTTAAGAAAAGTGGTGGAGAAACGGAGCCCACCTCTCACGTCTCAGCGGAGGTGTCAAATGGGCCACCTGGATCGTCGGCCACGGCCAACGTGTAGATATGTTTTGCTTGGACGGTGGGGGGTGTACTCAGTGGGAAGTGATAAAGGGGGAAAATCAAAATATTAAAATTAAGGGGAAAAAATGGCACTGCTTGCAAATCCTGGCTCTACCTGCGTCTCCGAGGGCAGTTTGGGCTCACGACTTCACGTGTGAAAGAAGGGTGTTGGAGCCCAGATCGCTTCTCGCGTGCACCGCTGAGCTTCAGGTTTGGTCCAGCGCTCATTTACACCCGCCCGCTCCTCCTGCGAGTCTAGACAGGCTGGGCGGGAGCCGATCCCTCCTCTCCAGAGCTATGGCTGCAGACACTATGGGAAGCAGTCTGGTAGTTGCAGGGCTGGGCCAGGACGCACAGCCCAAACCCTTCATTTTCTAGATGACGCCACTGGGAGGTCGGACTATGGGTTTGAGGGAGGACTTGAATTCAGGACTCCCTGCCTCCAGGGCCAGCGTCCTCTCGAGACAGCAGGTGCTTCATGGAGAATAGATAAAAATGCCTTCCCCTGTACTTCCTGTCTCTCTCTCTCTCTCTATTCTGACTGAATTCTGGCCGCCAGGACCGTCAGAAAGGATGCACGAAAGCTCAAAGCTTCAACGAGATCCTAAACTAAACCTGGAAACCGACAGTTGCCACCTGACCCTGCGGGGAGAGGGGTGGGGAGGGAGAGAACAGGAAACCCCGCGAGACTGGGGGCGGAGACGGGGAGGGGATAACGAGGAGGGGGCGGGGACTTGGGAAGGAGAAGCGCGCGGTTTTCCCCGAGAGAGTCTCGTGAGAGGACCGAGGCTCGCGAGGCTTAGCAGGGGGTTGGGCGAAAATTGGCGCGCGGGTTTGCAGGCTGCTCCGGAGTTCCGTCCGGGGAGTGCGGCTGCGCCTGTGCCCTCGTTCGCCCCTGTGCCCCGGCTATGCCTGCCGAGCGCCTGCAGCAGAGCGGCGGTGAGTGCGCCCTCGGCTCTGGGGCGGGGAAGCTGGGGGCCTGGGGAGAGGCGGCTGAGGGGGGAAGCGAAGTGGCGGCGGAGCCCGTGGGGGGAGGGCCGGCCCCAGAGCAAGCCTGGGAAGTCCTCGCCCCCGCGCTGAGTTTCCCGCGAAAACGAAGCTTCTCCGCGGGTGATTGACGGGCTTGTGGTCCTGCTCGGGGCGGGGGCCGGGGCCGCCTCCCTGTACTCGCTGGGCTCGCCCCCGCCCCCCAGCTAAGTCTTTCTTAGCTTTGTACGGACGCCCCGAGGGGCCGGGAGCGGGCCGGGGCAGCTCGTCCGGGCGGGCAGCCGGCTTGGCCGCGCGCGCAGCATCCGCTCTCGGTGCTCGAGAACCATTTCTCCCCTCCATTGAACACAGGACTTGAGGCGGCAGAGATGGCTCAGCCCCCAGACGACACCCCGGTGATCACCCCAGCCATGCTGGAAGAGGAAAAGCAACTCGAAGCAGTCGGTCTGGAGAGAGAGCGGAAAATGCTGGAGAAGGTACCGTCACAGAGCAGTGCTTCCAAGTTTAAAAAAAAAGAGCATACATTTAAAACAGCCTAGTTTGTTTTTCCAACGTTGAAATTTATATTTAACATTTCTTTGCATTTTGGAAATTTTGAGTATCTTGGAGCAGTAGTGCCAGTGTCATTATTTCAAGTAAGCCTGCTTTAGATGTCAGTTATTTACAACAGTAAATAATTTATATTTTTAAAAACTTATTTGGAAATTTTTTAAACACTTAAAGTATAACAGCTCCTGCTTTCTGTACATTTTCTTAAAAATTGTTCGTTTTGTGAATTTTCCGAAAAAACAATGCCAGCATGATGTCTTTGAACATTTTAACCCTATCTTACATTTACACACATTTGTTTCAATTAGTTCATTGTGAGAACATAAAACATTAAGCTCAGAATCTTTATCTTCCTCTTCCTGTTTATTAAAGACCATTTCCACCCATTTTGATTTCTCATTTCTCAATTTGAAATAAATTAATATGAGAGAAGATAGATGGCCTCTGAAATCTCTTCTTGCTCTAGATTCATATTCTGATACGAAATAAGAAAACATACACTTAATGAAATTTCTTTAGTACTTGGTACTCCCTCCAGCAATACAGATTACAATCCTTTCATGCCTTTTTTGTGAAGTGATGTGGCCAAAAAATTGTGCCATCCATATATGAAGCTCTACCAACACTTACCTACCACATACTTCATTCTACTGACACAGCCTTTGAGAATCCAGAGCGTACTTACGTCACAGAGAGAGACATAGAAATAGGACTTTAATTGACAGTACACAAAACTGCTAGTTTTTAAAATTGTGTTCTAGCTCTGAGTAGTGTCTGAAGTGCCTGCATGATGTGTTCATTCATTGGTGTGACTTTAAGGTGATACGAAAACGTTACTTGCTTAATTAATTCACCTTTATCTAGGAGGCTTGTGACTAAAAGGAGGGGAGGCAGGTGAGTTAACTGGTGGACGATTTGTGTGCTTCTTTAGTATCCAAGCAGTGTTAAGAGATCTGTAGAAAACCCCTAGCCCGTTGCTCCTACTTGGAAGACTGGATGTATTATTCTATTCTGACCCATTGGAGAGAGCAGCAGGATTGATGAAATTACAGATCCATTGAAATGTGCAGAGATTATCATGAGATATTTATGAGATAACCGGCTCAATTGTTAACTGTTTCCTATGTGAATCTTATTTTCTACATATAAAACAGTTACCCAGGTTGTAATTTTTCTCTTCAGTTATTTTTTATTCCTCATCCTGAAAGAGGTCGTATTTAGGACGGATGGCACTCTAGTTGTGTTGTGGTCCTTTGATAGCACGGTTACCTAATATAGAAAGGGAATAAACCGTGGCTCCCAACGTCGAAGGGAGGGAGGCGCTGTGTTGTGGTTTGAACCCTTGCTCTGGCATTCACCTCTGATGACTGCACATCTCTTGAGCCCTTGGGTCTGAGTTACCCCCCATGTGAGAGGGCTGGGCTATGGTCTCTGATGTCCGTTCTAGCTCCAAACCCGTGCTCTGTAAGTACCTGATGTGTTATAATGACCTGTCCAGCAGCGTGTAATGCAATTACTGATCCTGCTTTGGCAATGTTAAGATACGACGGATTGGAGGGGAAGGGATTAAACATTTGTATAGGACCTGTTATGTGCTTGGCCCTGCGCTAAGCAATTTCTACAGATTTTCTCACTATTGATTGGCACAACAACCCTGGGAGGTGATTGCTGTTATCTCCCATTTTACATTTGAGGAAACTGAGGTCAACAGAGGTTAAGTGACTCGCCTAGGGTCACACGTAAGTGACTGAGGCTGAATTGACTACTTCACTTTCCCATTTTGATTCTTACTACTACATTCTAACTAGAAAATACTTTGAAGTAATGCGTAAGATACTGTTGAGTATTGCACTTAGGCAGTATTTGTTAAGGGTATACTTTGTGGCACATTTAGAAGAACACTTCTAATTCTGGAAAAAATAGACATCTTTCTATAGATTCTACTTTTTTAAAAGTTTTTTACTGTTAAAGAAAACGTCTTGTTTGTCTTTGAAAGAAGGAGGGAGGATCCTTGGAGGTACTGTCTCCAGAAGGAAATCCACTCCGTTAGGTTCTTTGGGTATTCATGGACCATCTCCCTTGGAAAGAAAGCTATTGTTAATTGGGAAGACTCCGGCCTTGGGAAGAAAGGCTTGTCTACTCTGCCCAGAAGTTACTAAAAAGCAGAGGAATCTGCTTTTTAGAATCCCTGGATTTCTTTGAAGATGGGAAGACTTTTCTGCCTCTCAGCCCCTGCCCTTTCTGTTGTCCTCCCCCCATGAATTACCTAGTATTTATTTTGTATGTATCATACACAAGTGACTCGTGGGGATAGAATGGAAACTCTTTTGAGAGTAGAAAATCTTTAATTTTTGTCTTTCTATCCTTACCATGTGATATAACGCCTGGCACTTGGTAAGCACTCAGTAAATGCTTACCTCAGTGCATCGAAGTGTGGTAGAAAGATCCCTAGCTTTGGAATTAGATGACTTAGTTCAGTTTCTGTTAATAACAGTGCCTTACTCCCCCTGGGTCCCAGATTCCTCATTTTTAAAATGAAGAGGTGGTGGGACAGGTGGGCTCTGAGGTCCTGTGTGGCTCCAGTTCTATGGTCCTATTGAAAAAAACATGAATTAGCTTAGAATATTAGAGAGGGAAGTACTGATTTTCTAATGACAGGTATATGATGAATATAATGAAAAAAAATTCCTCCAATCCTCTCTAAAGTGGTAAATGTTAATACTTTATACTCACCATGCTGTTTTGCTAGCCACCTAGCAATTAGTGCCTCTTTGTGATAGTAACTGTAACTTAATATCAAAATACTTTTTAAATTGTATTTTATAAATTTGATAATTTATGAAGAGGCAGCACGATATAATAGCTGGTTGGGGAGCCAGGACAATTTGACTTCAAGACTCACCTTGGATACAGACTGATTGTGTGATACTGGAATAGTCAGTTAACTTACCTGCTCTAGGCAACTCTCTAAGGACCATAATAAGTTGCAGGGAATGTGTTCATTTACATGGATAGAGGAAATTTCCTTACCCAAGAGTTCCCTATACTAAAGAAATAACAGTTCTAAACCTTTTGTCTTACAATTATTACTTCTTTATTTTTTTGGTATGTTTTATGGGAGATTTTGGGGGGCGTCTGCACATTTACATTTTTTTTAACCTGAATATCAAAGAAAATGAGAATTTCCACATAACATTTTAGAACATAAGGACTGGGCTTATATGTGAAACCATGAATCTCTATTATGTAGAGCTTGTCCTTCCTTTGAAGTATCTGATAAATTAAGCATGCAACTTTCAAACATCTTGCTTGTCTGATTTTTTTTCTGGTGGCTTCTTATTTTTTCTCCTTTGGAGCCCTATTCTTGTCTTCTCATTCTCATTGGGAAAAAAAAGCAAAACTCACTTAACAGCTATACATATAATCAGATGAAACAAATTCCCACATTGGCCATGTACAAAAATGTGTATCTCCTTCTACATCTTGTGTCCAAGCACATCTTGACTGTTAGTCAACATCCTTCAATGTCAGTACTTGTGAAGGGTCGTTATTACATTGATCAGAATTCTTGAGTCTTTCAATGTTTTTATTTACATTGTTGTATAAGTTGTTCTCCTGGCTCTACTTGCTTCACTCTGTACCAGTTCATGTAAGTTTATCTAAAATCATCCCTTTCATCATGTTTTACTACAGTAATATTCCATTTCATTAATAAAACATAATTATTCCCCAGTTGATTAATACTTCCTTAGTTTCCAGTTCTTTGACACTAAAAAAAAAAATAAAGAGCTACTACACTATTGTGTGGGAAATTATTTTGCTTGACTGTATTTGTTTTTTTTTTTTTTTTTTTTTTCCCACTAGGCAGCAGGGTTAAGTGACTTGCCCAGGGTCACACAGCTAGTACGTGTTAAGTGTCTGAGGTTGGATTTGAACTTGGGTCCTCCTGACTCCAGGGCCAGTACTCTATCCGCTTCGCCACCTACCTGCCCCCAACTGTATTTGTTTAAAAGGGTTTTGTTTTTTTATATTTTATATTCTGTAGTTATTTTGAGTAGAATTTTCTTTCTTTTCCTGCTGGATTTTGTTGATAATATACAGAAATGCGGATGATGTATTTGGACTAGTCAGGTTATGTTTCATAGAGTAAGTGTCTCTAGTTGGGCATTTAGGAATGGGTTAAGATTGGAAATAGGAAGGAAAAGTGCATTCCTTTTTGGGTAGTGGGGGTGGGGGGAGAAAGGGATATGTTATGAACAAAGGCCCAGAAGGAAAGATGAGTATGTTGTAGTATTTCATCAATCTGAATAGAATTGAGGGTTCATTTAGGGATATAATTGGGAGAGGTAAGGCTGGAAGGGAGGATTGGGCCCAAATTGAATCATGGTCAGTAGTTTGCTTTTTTTCCCTCTTAAAGCCTGACCATTCTAGCTCATAGTAAATTCTGTCTCTCAGATTAGCTTTGTTAGTTGACAGAAGTATTTATTTTTTGTTTTTTGTGACTTCATCTAGATTATAAATAAACGGGACAGAGTTTATGTGTTCTTTGTGTTTTTTTGTGTATGTTTTCACAAGTCTTGTAGAAGTGTATATACTATAGTATGCATAATACAGTCAGTAAATGGGGTAGTGGAAGGACTGGCAGAACTTCTGTGACTGGACAGTGACTCAACCTTTCTGGGTTTCAGTTTCCTTATCTACAAAATGAAGGAGTTGGGCTAAATGACTTCTTAGGTCTCTTCCAGTTGTGAATTCTTGATCCTGTGATCTTATCCCTTCTTTGTGATTATATAACTAGTTAGTGTCAGAGGCAGAGCTTAAACCCAGTTCTTCCTGACTTGTGGGTCTACGTGGGTCCACGTGAACTCTGGTTTATATAGATTATGAAAAGTTAAATAATATTAACTTGTCACAGTACAAGAAAACATTAGGGCAGAAAGTAATTTAACCAAAATATCTGATATGTTTATTCATGTAGTTTGCAATCTCTCCACACTTAGTAGTTGGTTTCCATGTGTTGCTAAACCTGAAAAAATATCTCTCCTGCTGACAGACTTTCTGATGATAAGCCTTTTTGAACTTAATTAGGCTAATCCTCAGATGACTGATATCCAGTTCTTAGGTTCTTCTTTGGAGTTGTATCTGCCAGAGTTTGTGTTTTGCTAGCATAATCCAGGAAAAGCCACAGTCACCTACCACTGGAGGGCCAAGCTAGTACAGTATTCATTTTATATTTTAGTTAAAAAAAAAACAACCCAGCATTTAATTATATTAATGTAATTGAAAACTGTTTCCTATTCCCTAAAATATATTTGAGTTTTACCGTATCGTCAGAATTTTTACCTGTAAGCATTCTAATAACAAACTTAAAAGTTAATTTAAATATTCAGTTTTTTTTTATTTGAGTTTTAAATAAGGTACTAGATTTTTTTTTTTTTTAGCCCTGGTTCTAAGATATGTGTAAGTAAGCTGTATTTGTATAATTTTTTATTGCTTTTTTTGTTCACATATAAACATTAAAACATAATATTACTGACTGAATTTTTATAGGATATACTGCAAATATTTATATTTGAGAGAGACATGGAATAATAAGTGAAAAAAAATCTTTTGTTGGTAGGCTCGCATGTCTTGGGATAGAGATTCTAATGAAATTCGCTACAAGAGACTTCAACATTTACTTGAAAAAAGCAATATATATTCCAAATTTTTGTTGACCAAAATGGAACAACAACAAATGGAGGTGAGTAATTGAAAATAGTTATTGTTAGTTTTTAATCTGAATGTAAAATTTTAAAAATAATCCTATCCTTTAGTACTTCAGAAGAATTTTCATCTTCATGAATGACATAGATTGCAATGCCCCAGACACCTAGATCTTCATGAGTTGACTGTGGCCAGAATTTACCTGCTCGTTAACTTTCTGGTCACACTGAATTTAACCAGACTAGTTTTCGTAAGGGCAGCTAGATGTCACAATGGATAGAGCACTGAGCCTGGAGTCATGAAGACTCTTTTTTCTGAGCTCAGATTTGGCCTCAGATCCTTACTAGTTGTGTGATTGGGCATTCCACTTAAGCCTGTTTGTCTCAGTTCTCTCATCTCTAAAGTGAACTGGATAAGGAAATGGCAAACCACTCCACTATCCTTTGTCAAGAAAACCCCAAATGGGGTTTTATGAAGAGTCACACATGACTGAAAAACGCCTGAACAAGTCTTCATAAGACAGACACACTGCCATTGGGTCCATACTTGAGGACTTTCTGGCTGAATCTGAACTGCCTAAGTATGTGTTCTCTTGGCAAACCTTTTGAGAATCTAGGTTTATTTCTACATGTTGGAGGTAGAACTTAGTGAAGGAAATAGGTACATATCTGTGTGTTTTATTTTGTTGTTTTTATATTTTGGATGCAAAGACATGCTTTATATCCACTTTCTCAGTCTCACTTTGTATTGATGTAAGTTATAGGCCAAAGAAATTATACTTATAAATATTAGGATATAATGTAGTCCCCTAAAACTCATGTAGTCTTAATCATAAGTTTAGTAATACTATTTAAAAAAAATAGGATTCAGGAACAGGAGTCTTGGCCTTTTATCTAGAACAAAGCCCTATATTTAACACCAAATAAACAGTATTATGGTATAGTGGGCAGAATACTAGGTAGATGTGAAGTCAAAGAAATTGTCTTTGCTTCTTGGCTCTGCCTGTTTGAGCTATGGCAAGTTTCTGGTTCCTTGTTTGCAAAATGAGAGGTTTGAACTATATGATCTTTAAAGTACCTCCCTTTCAGGACTGTGCTTCTGCAAATCAGAAAGTCATTAAATGTATATACTTTAAGGACACTAAGATATCTCTTCTCAGGAACAGAAGAGGAAAGAGAAATTGGAGCGAAAAAAGGAGGCTTTAAAAATTTCAAAGGTAATCTGTTAAATTAGATTTTTAAAATAGCATATTACGTCTTGAAGAAGTTTCTGATTCTAACGTTGACAGGAAAATAGCCTCAGTAAAATGTGTGATACTGCTTTAAAACTTTTTTCCCCCTTCCTGTATTACTGTAAGAGAGTTTCTGTTTTCTACATATCTCCCATATTTAATTTATGTTTTGGGGAAAACATAGTAAATACTCATAAACATTTAGGACTGAATCCATTTCATGTACCACGAGAAAGTTAACTGTATTTCCCTAATGAAAAGCAGCCTGCATTGGTTTTTCCTGAAATCTTTGTCTCCAACAGGTCTTCCTTGAGACCATTTGTTTTATATTTCCATCTATAGCACAGAGTCTAAAAATTGTGGTGGTTAGCATTTTATTATAGCAGTTACCCAAATTTTCAGTTACATACTGAAGGCAAGTAACAGTACCAGAAAGAGTAGCAATTTCTAGGATAGATCTTTGTGACTGCTCCTGAAATTTCAGATATAGTCATTTCCTACTTTCAGTACATTGCATATAGCACATGAAGTGCTGTGGCCAAAAAATTGTGCCATCCATATATGAATCTCTCCCAACACTTACCTGCCACATATTTCATTCCACTAACATAGCCTAAGTCTAAGTCTTTTGCTCTTATAAATTTTAAACTTCCTTTTTACTCTTCTTCCTTCCCTCCCTTTCTTTTTCCCCTCCTTCCTCTCTCCCTTCTCACATTTTTTGCTTGCATGTTGTCTATTTTTGGTGTGTTGCCCTTTATTTATTCTTTTAAAAAAATAGCTCCTATTCCTCTTTAAATAGTTCTTTTTGCTCCCTCCCCTCCAGCCTAAATCTTTACCTTTGTTGTACTTTCTTTCTATGCCTTGACTTTTTTCTTTCAAGTTCCCCAGAGAACTTGTGAAGTACTCCTAGTTTCCTCAGTTCCATTATCCTAGAAAAACCTTACTTCTAAGGGTGAGGATAAAAGAGATTGTGAAGCCATATTCTCTCTACCTCTATCTTACTTCTCCCCCTCCTGGATTTCATAAAGCATTCTTCAATAAGAATGAGTAACAGAAATTTGAAAGTGGTACATGTATTGATTCCTCTTTCCTCCTACTCAAGAGAAATACAGAAAGTACAAGGTTATAGATAGCACCAAAAATCTGTAAGGGAAGCATAGTTGCCTATGTAAATGCCTAAATTCCATTGGCAAGAGACATTTGTCTTGAAGTACCTGGATTACTCACCAAAAGGCACAGAGCATAACTACTAAGAATATTTACACATTGGCATAATCTGTAATACTGAATATGATCTCTGTTTCTTCAGTCTTCTCACCAGGTGCTATAAGCCACAGGGATGATAGAATATTGTGTTTTTTTAGTTGCCAGTTTGTCATGTACCTTGTAGCTTATGTTTTTTAAATTTGTAATTGGTTATACTTTTTCCAGTTTCCAAGTAAATGAAGAAATAAATTCATTTGTCATAAGATTAAGGATTTTAGGAAAATACTTAATGTTGTAAATATTTACTCTGTAGGGGAAAAAATCAACTGATGGAAGTGAAGAAAAACCAGGTAAATTTTTTTTGTCCTAGTTTTTGAAGGTTATGTTTTCTTTTAGAGTTTGTTAGGATGCTAATCTTTTGTTTATTTTTGTAGTTATGAAAAAGAAAAGAGGAAGAGAAGAAGAATATAATATTTCAGAAGTCATGTCAAAAGAGGTAAAGAAAGCATAAAACATTATCTCCAAACCCAAGAAATAACTGTTTGAGTTGTTTTCTCATCAAGCATTTAGCTAGTGAGGCTGTTCTTGTGTCCTTCTATTTCCTATTTTTGCATCTGTAACCTTTTGCTTGTACTTTCCTTTAGAATTCTTGTAACTCTTAAGTCAGTTCCCTACCATTTACCACTTTCATATGTGTTATGTCTTTTACATCTCATTACTCAGTATGTACTAAGAGCTCAATAAAATGCTTGTTTTATTGATTTAACATGATGGATGAAAAAATGTTTTACTAGAATGTTTTTAACTTCACCTTTTCCTCCTTCATTTCTAAGGAAATTTTGTCAGTGGCTAAGAAGAAGAAAGAAGACAATTGGGTAAGTGATTTATAATAATAAAGCCAAATTTGAACTCTGTATTTGTTTCTCTGAGCACTAGCTGAATGCACCTAATCCTTCTTGCTTAATTTTTTTTTGCCTTTCTCATATACCAGCTCAGTCTCTTCCCCCAATTCTTGTCATCTCTCACCTATCCATTTATTCCCTCCCATTAACTATCACATGTTTTCTGCCTTCTCACAACCTGCTTCCACCCTACCTTTCCAGTCAATTATGCATTATTCTCTTTGGTGAATACCACAGTGCGGTTTATCTGGCTTTCTTGGTATTCCTTACACACATCTGTCCCATACCTGGAATGTACTCTCTTCTCACCTGTCTCTTGAATCCCCACCTTCTTTGAAGGCCCAACTCAAATGCCAGCTCCTCTTTGAGGACCTTACTGACATAACCTTACCCCAAGTGGTTTTTCCTGTTCTTCTACCAAAAAAATTACCTTGTGTTTTTTTGTATAAAAGGTTGGTTGATTGGTCTTCACCTGTTCTTTTAGTATATTTATATTCATGTCATGGTATATGAATTTATGTTTAAGGTTAGGTGTGTGAGATTAATCTGTGTTAGTAAATATGATAATTGGTACTTTTTTGGTATAGATTTGTGCATTATATATACTGTGTGAGTAGTTTTTACACTAAGATTTTAGGGTTCCTTGAACCTCCATCCCTTATTTCACAGAATTAACTTTGAATATTTGGCTCTTCTGAAAAGATATAATCTTATAACCTTTTTGTATATTTTGGATACATTTGGATTCCCAAATTTTTAGCCATTTACTTCTCTTATCTCAGCCCTAAACCTTGCTGACTTTTCCTTAGAACATTTTAAGTAAGCACAACAAAGGAAATTGCTGGATGTCAACCTTGTGGTGGTAAATGGGTGGTCCTTTGTAACAGACTGTCAGTTATAATTTTAAAGAAAGTTGAGCATTTAGACTGAGAACATGGATATTTTATCTTAACTTGGTATTTAATGTCTAACACAATACTATGCCCATAAGAGATGTTTGATAGAATTTCTTTCACTCCTCAAATTGCATGCAGATGAAAATTAATGCTTTATGAAAGCTAGAATCTCTAGAATCTTTAGTTTTCTTTTCGGCAGAAGATAATGAATCATGACTGAGAAGGGTTTTTTGAGGAGTTTAGGAAATGGCCTTCCAGGAAAGGTATCCTAAGAGCAAGATGGCTTTGTTGTTATTGGAATTTGAGAAATAGTTAAAACTCTAACAAAATATTTTTAGGAGTCTATATGCCTGGTTAGGAACTGGGAAGATTAGCTATCCTGTGACTAAAAGAATTACAGAATTAGAGAGTTTTGTAATCACATTCCAGAGAAGTTTGGGGGCGCCAGACATCTCAAGGGATTTACCCAAGGTTTGGTCTGTTTCCCGTACTATCTTGTACAATTGAATGTTTATAGATCAGGAAAGTTTATAAGGTTGACCATTTGGTCGTCTGGTAAATAATCAAGACTGAAGTCAGCCTTGTCAGCTTGAATTGCTAATGATTTTTTTTTTCTCTTATAGGATGAAAGCTCTTCTTCCATACAGGTTTCTGTAGAAGATCTTCAGAAAAGTAGTGATACAAATAGTGTGATTAAAGATAGATTATCTCAAGTTGTTCGGCATAATGCTAAATACTTTCTAGATCCAGTAAGGAAATGTAATGGCCAGGCAGTACCCTTTCAACAACCGAAGCACTTCACAGGAGGAATAATGCGGTGGTACCAAGTAGAAGGCATGGAGTGGCTTAGGGTAGGAATTATTGCTTTAATAAAAGTTCATTTGAAGGTTTATTTTTCATTGTCCACTATAATTCTGTCTGTGATGAGTCTTTGTAAAATGAAGAAGCATAATTTGTTGCCTAATTTTAACTATTTTGTAAGTTATGTTTTTGGCTAAGAGATTTTCAAGTATATTATATGACATCCCCTTCTTGACAGACATCCTAGATTTCACAGGTTCTGGAAGGTACATTCAGTTCAATTTAAGCCTCATATGGTTTCAATCTGGGTCTGTTTCTCTTAATTTAAAAGGTTCATTCAAAAATCAGGAGCCATGCTGGACGCTTTCTTGTAATAATCTTCTGGATCAGATAGCAATCATAGAATTTTTATCTTAAACATTATCTAGGCTGTACTTTTCATTTTACAGATAGAGAAATAGACCTAGAGAGATTCTGACTCACCCAGCTCTCATAGCTCTTTAGAGGCAGTTAGGACAAGAATCCAAGTTTCTTACCATCATCCTTGTCCCCTCAATCTTGAATCTGGTTATTTGAGGTTCATTTCAGTGGGACTAACCCAAGATTAGGATCAGATTCTTCAGGCACACCAATTCTGTAGTGAAAAGAGTATTGCATTTACAGTCAAGAGGACTTGTGTTAAAATTCAGGCTCTCCACTTAACTGACTTATACCAAGCCACATAATTTTTGATCTTTAGTTTCCTTATTTGCTAAGTGATAGGATTGGAAAGGTCTGTTCTAGTTCTAAAATTCATAACTTCCAGCTTAGTTCCTAGGATTGTAGGTGTGGTCAGATAAGTCTCTTTTCTCAATTCTAATTTCTGACTGTTTGTAAGACAGTTGCCAAAAAAATAAGTCTCACAAAAAATAAAGTCCCCAAAACTGAAATCGTGTATAATCGAGTTGGATAGGATAGTTGGAATCAGTTAGTTGATCTTGAACGTGAGCCTGGGCAGCTGTGCTCGTACCACGTCTCCATCCTAATAGCTTATTTTAGCCACCATCCTCAACATCCCCTTACACCTTTTCCCCAACTCCATGAACACACTGTCAGCTGCTTGAATGGATCTTTCAGAATATGTTGAATTTTACAGAAAAAGGAACTGAGTCTCGGAGATGCTGTTTATTTGCCTAAGGTCAAAAGGTAGGCA